GTGCGTGCGGAAAACGAGGTGCTTTGTCACCCTATCTCACACAAACGAACGCAGCCTAAGGACTAGATATAAATCAATGCACAACTCTACACTCTAAACACAAAATCAAAGGAGTCACTGAAATTTTCTTTTTCACTTTTTTCTTTTCGTTCTTTTCTTTCTTTCTTATTTGGTGCACCTTTTTTTTCTTTTTTTTTCAACTTTCTATCTTTTTCTATTTGCTTTTTTTCCCTAATTTTTTAACAGGAACTAACCAAATATCTAAATCAGGAACCAAAAGTTACTGTGAGGAAAACAATGGTCTCGGCCGCCTTTCTGGAGTAGACTGGCTTGCAAAAAAAAAAGAAAAATCGAATATTAATTCTATCTATGTACTGAAGCTGGTGTAGATCTATCTGTTTTCCTAGTCCTTCTCATCCTAACTCCCAACACATATAAGCACGGACTATGTTACATGGAAATCGTAACACTTGATGCCACTTCACAACCGACCGAAAGAAACTCTTGCAAACTGCAAAAAGGGGAACCCGATGATGATAGGGTTCAATTTTCTAGTTGCAGATGAATGATTACGAATTCGATGTTGGGGTTCTTCAAATTGACTAACAGCGAAATAGCATGACGACATATTAATCTAAGCAAAATTTGACTATGGCTGCTACTAAATATATATGATTAGAGACGTCCTAGAGTTAGGCGTTTACCCCTTGGGCTTAGTCCACAACACAATTATAAGACCCACAGACAAATCAGACTTGGACTGGATAAGATACGTGGCCTGTTTTGCAGATTCCTGACAACTCAGGAGGAATTTTAATGTGGGAACTTGACCATCTGAAAGTAGATTTAATAAGCTTTCCAACAAGTATTCATGGGTCCCGAAAGTCCTTCTGGATCAACGGCTAGGTGTGTTTGAAGTTGATATTTTCGAAGGCTTGAATCCTAATCTAGAATATGCAGAACTTAACCTCTTCCCATAAATGGACCAAAAGTGATGTGGTGGTGAAGGAGTAGACTTGAGGAAAGTTTTGGTTTTATCCCCAATCAACTTTTTTGATCATCCATGCATACCTTGCTCTCGGTCTGTTTTCCATCACCCAAGATAGTACATCTACAACGAGAACACAAAAAACTCATGGTGCAGTAAAGTTTGTTCAAATATATAACACATAAATCTTCCGTAGAAAGCATGCTCCTTGGATTGATGAATACATAGGGCCTCCTGGAAACATTTCAAAGCGTAAACCAAACGTCCATTGGTTATGCATTTTGTTGTAGAAGCGTGAAGAGGATAATAAATAGTAATAAATACTACAATACTCCCTCCGTACTCGTAAAGGAAGTCTTTTTGGACAATGTTTAAGTCAAACCTTGGGAATATAAATCTTGAATAACTCTCAAGTTGTTGAGTTTGGAAATGTAAAAATTATATGAATATATTTTTCTTGAAAAATAATTTCATAAAAGTATACATATATCACTTTTCTATAAATATTTTTATAGAAACAAGAAGTCAAAGTTGTGTTTTGGAGACCATGTCGCTGTCCAAAACAACTTCCATTACGAGTACGGAGAGAGCATAGCTTTTTGCCAGCCATGGATGAAGATTTGGCAGCATAGTTTGCTTTTGAAAATTTCTTGTCATTCAATCGAATCGTGTTGGTGTTACTATGTTTTATGGATGCTGATGGTTGTGATGTAAACTTTGTAATAATTTAGCTTTACTTTTTTAGATTAGTTGGATCTATGCCATTACAGATTTACTGGTTTTGAAAAATACTATCAAAATTCGTTAAACCAGCTATGTGTCACCGAGATTTTCTAAAATTCAAACAGGCCATTGACCGCCATTATTGTTAAGTTTCCTGTCACCTTCTCCCCTAATCTCATTCCATCTGGATGTGAGACCGAGTGTGTGTGCATGGGGGGGAGGGGTGGGGGGGGATCGCCGGTGACGATCAGTGTCCCATCGTTGTCAGCGAGCTTCGACCAACTGGTTCTCTAATTTTCCAATCATGGTTTGGGCACTCAAAATCTGAAGAACATTCTTTCTTTTTTACTTTTCCGCCGTTGGCTTGTGAAAAACATTATCTTCCTTTGTATGGCCTTCAATTATTTTATATCATAATAGAGGATGTCTCAGAAAAGTAAACTCAAATAATTGACCATTATAGTTCCATAATATTTCTTCAATGTAGTAGCTCTCTTTTCTGTACTCCTTGAGGTAATGGTGGTGGCAGTGAATCTATTTTGGCAAAACTAATTTTAAAACTATTTTGGCAACTGTGAATATAATTTAAGAACAACAAACAGCAGAAATTAAATATCCATTTAAGTTCCTAACCTTTTAATACAAGTAAAGGAACTATAGCATTAAACATATACATTAAAAGTAGAAATTAAACTTACTATCTTCACCTGACTTTGAATAAAATAAAATAAAAAGCTGAATCCTTGATAGATTAACCAAGTATCAAAAGCTCGACTAATGGGAAAAAAGGAATCGAATATCACTCCAAATGACCAATGGGAGATTAATTTTACCCTCTAAAATGCCATGAAACTACCTAAATGAAATTCCCAAAGTTTGTAAAGTATTTATCTCCCAATAAATCTGGAACTCTCAAATAAATGAAGCATTAGAAATGAATAAGTCTTTCTTTGGAGGAAATATGAAAATATGTATCCAAATTTGAAGGAGTTAATATCTTCAAATCCAAGTTACCTGTGTCTTCTAGCATCTCCATATTTTTTATTTAGACCTTTTTAATAAATAATTTAGAAATTAACCATTGCAAAACTTATTTCAATGATCTGAACATTTTGGCCAACCCAGCCCACCTCGCCATCCCACCAGCTGCTGTGGCTAAAAAATGTTGGCATGCAAGCTAGGTAATCGTGGCAACCATCGCCACACAGGAGGTCGTTCCCCGCTCGGAGTCAACCACATTCTGACATGGCATTGTGCTTGAAATGCCAGCGCAAGTGGTGTCGCACTTCTTGTTGTCAACGGTATTTACGTTGGTAATGTTGTGGTCATAATGTCATATATGTGAGGGAATGCATTTGTAGTTATATCTTTTTTTTCTAATTTGGACGTGTAGATCGTGCGTACAATGTCTATGTCTCCTTGTGTGTAGAAGTCGTTGGTTTGCTTGGATCGATTGACAAGTTATACTTATTTTGCATGTCAATATTATTTTGTTGTAGATGGATCGTGTACTGCACGTAGGGAAAATATGTGGTGGAAACCATATATGCAATAGAAACTTGTAAACTACCGTTGGATCGAAAAATGGACGTCCGAGATTCTTCCACGTCATCACGAGTAATAATTTTACTCGCAGTAAAATTTTTACTTATGAGTAAATCCGTGAGTAAAATTTTTACTCATGATGACATGGACGAATCTCGGACGTCCATTTTTCGATCCAACGGTAGTTTTCAAATTTTCACCACATATTTGCATGTGCATGTACATTAGGGTGGAACAATTTGTTGTGATGGACAATTTACAAATATGAAAGTTGATGTGGTAGTATTTGAGGCCACACTTACATAGTTAGGATTATTCTATCGGATTTGTTCTAAATTTCCTTCTTTAGAACCCATTGGTGCGTTAAGCATGGAAGGGATGTACGATGCAGGCATGTGATCAAGGGAGCACTTTTTTTTATCATACCCATATCACGTGAGTTGGAGTTGTCGACATATGTTGCATGTGTTCAAGATTTGCATGTACGCTAAGTACATGTTGTTGCATCAATGTTTGGGATACTTCGTGCAACGGTAGATCCGATTTCAGTCGATTATACAAATATTTTGGAAAGACCTCAAGAATATAGATACTTCAACACAGGTGGACCCATAGTCGAGGTAGATGAACATGCCAATGAGGGTATTGTTCAATTAAGTGAGCATAATAATACCCCAATTTATATGGATATTAAAACCGTTGGTCAGGGTAATAGGCATGTCAATGGAACCAATGTTGTACTAATCCCATGTGGCACTATGCACCATCGGCTAGGCTTGAATCAGACCTAGCCCACAGTGCACTCCTTCTCCCTCTTGGCCCAGCTATTGTCTCTGCCCCACTCACCATCTTTCCTAGCAGTACAACGTACGACCCCAGCAGGAGAAGAAAGGCAGGCCATCCCTGCGACCATTGCAACCTGGCCGTCACCTCCTCGCCCGCTACGCCACCAGCTGCCTGCCACTGCCGATGCACGCCAAGCCAGGCTGCGTGCAGGTCAAGGGATCGATCCCTCCTCCCAATTCATGGAATTTGATTTTTCTAGAAAATAGCATAGGGCAGCCGGACTGCTTTGAGGTTTTATGTAAAACAGGGTGGTTTAAACTCTTTTTACCAGCTCATATGCATCCCTGGTTTCTTAATTGGATCAGACTAAACTTAGGCCTGGTTCTGGTTTTTAGCTAGGTTAAACCAGTGGTCCACTCCGGCTTTAATAACTACTCCCTCCGTTCCTTAATACAGGGCGTGGCTGTTGTAGTTGCAAAGACCAATAAAACCATTTAAATAGCAGTTACGATGATTAATTCTCTCCGTTCGAATAGCAACGTTTCAGTAGTTGCGCGATAGATACGCTAGCATTAATTAACCACCATGCATGCAGCGTGCGCTCGACCTGCACTTTCCGCGCGAATAGCCAGCATGTATGCAGATGCATTTAAAAGACAAACCAAGTCATCAGTTAATTCTGCAGGCACCAGTAGTACAGGAGCCGAGGAATACTAATTAATTCATGCATGCACCGAGGAGCTACCACCTTGTATTATGAAATCCAGTTGAAAAGAAGTTACGCCCTGTATTTAGGAACGGAGGGAGTATGTTATTACCCACTTCCAGGCCAGTCGAGCATAACCACACCATGCTAGAAGCAACAGTTAGGCTAGCGTGTTAGACTTATGGGCTTCCGATTTGTTTCTCTGGGTGTCATATAATCCTTAATGTCATCCTTGCATGCATAAGTTGGACAGCGCATAGCTGATATATGAGTATATTCTACTCTTACTGAAAAGAACGCATATTTTTTTCTTTCATATTTTATAGTGTCTCGATTTTTTTAACCAATTTATATTTCTATGCAAAAGCAATCAGTATTGCAAACTCAAATAATCCGGTTACAAGACGAATCTCCGGCATGGCTATTGGTTGGTGCTTGTAGACAAGCTATCTGCTATTATTTAAATACTTTAAAATTATTGAAAATATCTTCTATTATAATATGTGTTTTATCCGGGCTAATCAAATTATGAAACTCTAGTACATATGAATTATCTCTTTTGGAAGTTGAATAGCTTAAGTGAGAATCCGAAAAGGATGGCAAAAAGAATTGCAAATGACACAACGGCCATAGCAGCCACCCATAACAAGTCAAGATTGTAACCAAAGTAGCTCTCAACAAAGTCAGATACACGCACACCGTTATCAAACTTGTCATCTACATCCCCAAACTGTGAAGTAACCAACCCATTGATTGTCCATGCAACAGGGCAAATCCAATAGTACCATCTCCACCATATTGGAATTCTCTGCAGATAAAAGGAGCCATATTTAGGAAAACTAGGAGTGAAGTTTGGTAGTACTTCTTAATTTTTTTTCTAGTCTTGGCTTTGAGATAATTTGGCTAGGAACCTTGTATACATTGATATTTGAGAAAAGCTAGTATACTTAACTGTTTTTGGTATTAGAAATCCAGAGAAAAGGTGCCATATGGCATAGAAAGTTGTGGAAACAATAGAGGACATGGTGTAGTTTGGAGTTAGACCTGCCGCCATCATGCCATAAAATGTGAAGTATGATAGAGTGAAGTACATGAAGAACATGTACCAAAAAAACTTGGTGCATGTCCACTCGTATCCCATCATAGAATACACTATCACACCATATATCAAGGTTTGGAGGAAGATGTAAGGAAGTTCAACTACAACCTGCAATAGAACTAGATGTTAACAAAGCTTATTCATTTATCATTTCTGTCCACTTACCAAGGGTTTTAGTTTTGTAGAAATTGAACACAATCTTGAAACATTATATCTAGCCTCATGTGTAAACACTATGATGCCAAAGAACCATACCTGCCCCAAGGCATATGGCAAAGGCGAGTACATGTGAGATGCTCTTTCCCTGTAAAAGACCGTGCGTTCAATATTGACAACTGGTTGAACTGAAGAAGAGTTCTGCACTCCTAGAGTGAAACATGTGGAATACATGGAACCCATGGCACTGAGCAAGGCTTGTTGACTTTGCCTATGAGAAAGGAATATTTAGGGTAAGCATGGTCCAATGGCAACCTTTAAAATCTGTAAAGAAAATCACAAATATAAAATATTTCCTTGTGTTTATTGTTATATATATTTACCTTTTTCTACCAACGCCCCAGAACATTGTTCCAAACAATAGTGCAATTACAACGGTGAAGAAGAAATTCACAGCAATATATGGAGGATTCCTCCAATATGACAAACGTTGCTTCCAGAGGCAAGCCAAACATTGTATAACAAAGGTCTGTGAATATTTAGTTGGAAACAATAAGTCGCTTGAACCGTCATGGGGTGTGCTTAACTCCTTTATCAAATTTTTGTTCCTCCTGTAGGGAAAACAAAGCACTAATATCATCAAACAATAACATTACCTATTAAATTTTTCATATATTTGAAACATTCATTATAAAAGTGTAAATTGCAGATCTTTTGAAGCATCTGTAGTTTAGCATTATGATATCATCACAATATATGATTCATGTAGGGATATTTTTTGCTTTTGCCACTACCTTGTATTGTTATTTCATTTCTTTACTAATATTGAAAAAAACTTATATTATTGTTTTTTCAGAATATCATATTTGTAATTTTAGTTGTTTCCCCAGCTTGTTGAAAATTGTTTAGACATGCATAAAAGGACACCATTGTCTTCTCTTTTTTCAACCTATACTTAAGTAACTAATGATAGAACAAAGTATTTTCTACATACCACAAACATGGACACATTTATCACATATACCATTATGGAACCAGACATCTTGCACATCACACAAAGTTTGATTTTCATCTAGGTTTTCTGTTGCTGGAGCAACGATTAAAGGTATATAGTCAGACTATTAACTAAAGGATGACCCCATCCCTACCTATATAGTTCAGAATTCTTGTATACTTGAGTAAAGTTAACCCCAGTTATCTGTTCCTGCAATGTACAAGTCACTTCCAGCATCCATGTTGAAGGATTGTAGCCATGTTTTATCTTCCTGACACCTTCAATAGACTTTAAAAATGAAAGCAGTTCAATAGCATGTTTCTGAGTGCAAAAATTCAAGCATGTATTACATTATGCGATTTTTTTCTAACCTCAAAATATTTGATCAATTCACATGAATGTTGTCCTAATGGACCTACATAAATTGCTTCACCTCCTCTTTTCATTAGGAAGAGCTGTAAATATGAACAATACCAGAAGGAATTGAGTGGGATGCAAATAATGTTAATCCACCAGTGATTTACTTTTTTCTTGTATACCCATTAAATCTGTGTGAGAAAATGCACTATATTGCTATAATTTTGTTCACCTCATCAAATGATTCAAATATATCAATACTAGGTTGGTGGATTGTGCAAACAACAGTTCTTCCCATGTCCACAATATTCCTTACTGTCCTCATGACAATGGCTGCTGCTCGTGCATCAAGTCCAGATGTTGGTTCATCCATGAATATGATAGATGGGTTTGCAACTAGTTCCACTGCTATTGTTAGCCGTTTCCTTTGTTCAGTTGATAATCCACTCAAGCCAAGCAATCCAACCAATGCATCTTTTAAGGGAAAGAGCTCCACAAGCTCCATGAACTCATCAATAAATCTCTACAAACCAAGCACACGAAAAAAGACTAGCATGTCATGTCATGATACGTACTTATATACTACTTGACGTTCAAAAAAGTGTTTCTTTCATGTCTAACCTTTCTTGCCATAGAATCAATTTCGGCTGGTAATCTAAGCCATGCTGAGAACATAAGGGATTCATAGACAGTTAGATTTGGTGAATGGATATCATTTTGTTCACAATATCCTGAAACTCGAGAAAATGTTTCTTGCTTCTTCGGATAGCCAGATACAGTAATATTACCATGTATGTGTCCACTGGTCTTCCTCCCAGCTAACACATCCAACAATGTTGTCTTGCCTGCACCACTGATACCCATAAGTGCTGTAAGCACTCCTGGCCTAAATGAACCACTAAGATCCTTCAGTAGTTCCAACCGACTCCCTGCCATACCCTGTACTTTCAGTGCCTACATGTTTTGTTGGATAAAGACAATTATATATGGAGTTTGCTCATAAATGTTATGTTTATAGGCGATTTATAGATAGAACATGCATGTCAAGACCAGACAAAGGAATATTTGTGTACCTTTGGCATGTCTATACTGTATCTTATATCTTCAAATGTCATGTAAACGGGTACAAAAGGCAGGATACTTCCTTTCCTGGCTGGACTAGAATTATGATTTGCATTGCTTGAAGTTGCTTCATCATTGTTGCCACCCTCAGTGTCTAGTAGACATAACACAGAAGAAAGTTATATAATTTATTAAATTAAATCTCATTGTGATATATAGTATTTTATATTGGTGAATATAAAATTACATCTTTTATCATTGGTAACTCGGCCTCCAGATGATGGCTCTTGATCATAACCGGTTAAATTTTCTAGTTTTATCTGCAATGTTTCCTGAGACATTTCTCGCACATTTCTTTTAAGTACTGCAGAGAACATGGTGCATAAATTTAGAATGTATAGCCCCTTTTTAAAACAACAATAGCTTTTACTAATATAAGAAATTCATTTTTTTCTCTAACTCACATGTGAGAATTGAGAGGCAGATGGTGTAGAGGATATTGAACAGAAGCACATATCCAAGCAAGGCACCAAGACCAATCCAATACCATTTGGCCTCCGGGAAAACCCCACGAGATTCCAGAACTAACCTTCCAAGTGGTTCTCTAAAACCAGGTAGTGCCTGATAACAAAATGTTTTTAATGGACATATTATGATATATGGATTTCGATTGATTCCATAAGTTTTTTTTTACCTCATTCCAGCTGGGACTTAGGAATTCATTTACTGCTAAGGCATTTAGTGCATACATCAGGGGTGATGTCCAGTACTCCCATATCAGCCATTTTTTAACTTCATCTGTTAAATCAAACAAACATATCATACAATATGTATACAAGTACCAACACATGTGGAAATAATATCAGAAGTAATGCCAATATCATGTCGTGTTTTGTCAGATAGTTTGTGTACCTCTTGATAGGATGAATCCGCTTGAAACCATAACTATTAGTATACAGAATTCACTCACGGTGCTTGCAACAACTGGATGCCTTGTAAGAGCAGCAATGAAACGGAAAAGTCCACATATTGCCTCGGACATTACAAAAAGCACAAGGAATTGTCTAAAACATCTACAAGATTGCATTGTTTTCATTAATCTTTGCAATATATTCATTACAAGAATTTGTCCGATGTATTGAATTTTGTTTTTCTTACCTCTCTATATTTGGATCAAATCCAATAACATAGTATGTTATGGAGACCCAAATTATTGTATTAAGGAAGGAGATTGGAGTCTTAATGATCCATGATGGCAAGGAATATGTCCATGCTGGATAGAAGAGTAGATCCCTTTGCTTGAAAAAAACTGGGAGATTTGCAAGAGCTGCTCCCATTTCTGCCAACCCTTTAAACATTATTGCCAACGTACCAAAGAACTGCACTCCCATGTACATCCTCCCGTTTTCTATCGAGTCATGATGCATATTTGTATGGATAAAGACACTCATTGCAATTATCGCCACTAGTGTTAACTGAACAAGTCAAAGAAATAATGTAAGAGAGGCCAATTAGCTTCAATTGTTCCAAAGAAATTGTGGGTTGTTTTGCTATAATATAATATAAAATGTCTCAGATTGTCAGAATCACCTGAAGTGCATTGAATATATATAGAAATGATTTTCTTTTCAACAGCAATATCTCTCTGTCAATGTTAGCTTTAAGTATTTTTTTCAAGTTGACACCATGCTTTGATGTTTTCAGCGCTGCAATATGGCTCTTGCTGTTATCAAATGGGATTGCCAACTCACTTCTTATTGCCTGGCCGACATGGAAACACTGAAATGCCTCGGCAATCACTGTAACAGGAATATATCGATATGTGTCATCGCCATGTATCCAGTATTGTTTCTGATCTTTCCTTGATGTAACCTATCACATTTCACTCATATTTAGTAACAATTATACACTGCAACCAAATTTAATCATCTGATACTACCATGATTGAACATAGTGAGAAAACTCACTTCTTGCAAGAAGTCAGCTACACCTATTCTTTCTAGGCATTTGAATCCCAACGATTTAAAGAACTCAAGCACATGATCACGAGGGCCACTATAGACAACTTGACCATCTGAGAGGAGAATTATATCATCAAATAATTCATATGTCTCGGGTGCAGGCTGTAGCAAAGCAATGACAGCTGTTCCACCAAGAACATGAATGGTTTGTTGGATGGTGTTCACTATCTGGAATGTTGTTGAGCTATCAAGTCCATTTGATATCTCGTCCATGAAAAGAGCTCGTCCTAGTGTGACAAGCATCTCAGCTGCAGAATCAACATTAGGGGCTGTATGAGCATCCAAACATCTTAAGTAAATCCAATTCTAAATTACCTGTAGTTAGTCACCTTTTTTGCCCTCCAGATATGCCTCTCAACATATTATCACCTACAATTGTGTCGGCGCATATATCCAACCGCAAAATCTTCAAATGATAAAAAAATAAAGTAAAAGAATTATTATCGCGTATACATGTGAACTTACACATGAATGAGAAGAAATTTTCAACAGATAATTTTTTTTACCAGGCCTATAAGTAGGGTTCTAGCAGTATCCAGGGACAAAGGGTGGTAATTTATTTACCTCAGGGAGGTAGTAAGTTTTTAGTGGACCAAATGGTAGGATGAGGAAGCGGAATAGAAAAATAAGAAAAGGGAGGGTGCTGCTCTCTGAGACACGCTACATATTATGTTGTTCTCTGAGGGGCGTTCTATAGCATTGTATATAAGTAGATAGTGCTCATATACCTTTAGTATGTGATTTGTAACTATCTCAGCTTTCTCCTCTCCTGTTGTAGCTGCCTGCATATGCAAAATGAGACATTGATGTTCATCAAACCTTATACTGGAACATTAATAGATGGTAAAAACATGAAGAGATTGCTCAACATACTGGATAAGGTGAGTTGTGATTTAAGAACTCCATTGTACCTTCAAATATATATCAGTTTCAGGATCTGGTGTAATGTTTTCTTCCTCTTCTCTTCTCAATAGTTCTAGAAACAGATCTGAAAATTTTCCATAAAATGTTAGTTTTTCATATGATATGACACTATGATAAGTTTAAACTCCCCATTTCCTGTCTTACCATAGTGATGGCCAACTCCTTGACACTTTGCAGAGAAATTGATTGTCTCACGAACTGTCAGTTCAGCCATATGCAGATCATGTTGGCTAACATAAGCTGCGGATCTTTGGGGTATAAATTTGTCCATTGTATGCCCATTGTAAGTTATCATCCCCGATACCTTTTGTAATTGCATTGTAGTATTTCCTTATATTAGTACGGCAAGCATACTAGATTATATATACTGAAGACAACCAGTAGGCCAACCAAGTAGCATGGTAAAAAAATTGAAAAACATAAATGAAAGTACTTTTACGGTTGATGGGAGTGTTCCAGCCAAGGCCAACAACAGTGATGTTTTTCCAGAGCCAGGAGAACCTAATAGCAAGGTCATTCTGAAAACAGCAGGATAAAAGTTATATATAGCATCGAGATAATTTAGACATTGTCAATTGCTGAGATGTTATGACCTGTGAGGCTTGATGATCCCACTAGCATTGTGAAGGACAGATATTTTTTGCTTACTTCTTGTTGTCATGTGAAGAGTATTCGCCAGGCCCTGTTTAGAGGTGATTGTCAATTTTTCACCATGTCACTACACATGGAATATAGTAAAATAAGGGAGCCATATGCAGTAAATATTTAGGCTGCTGCAAAAGTAATGTCATCTTCTAACTAAAAACAATCGACTATGCACAGATTCCTTGAGTTAGAGCTACTTGAATTCGGAAGTAATGGCTATGAACCAGTATTTGGTGTGGGGCGCAATTTTATTCAAATTGGTATACGCTGGTTCTCCAACATACAGATAGGTATTATTTTTATTAGACCTTATTTACCATCTTTATACCTCTTGCTTCATTTTTTTTTCTTTTACATTCATTGCAACTGTATTATCTCTTCCACCATTAAAAAAAATTGCACTTCTCTCCTTTATCATTCTTCCTCCAGTGCATAGTTTTGCTTCTCCATCACAAAAATTCTAACATATCCAAAAATAAATATACGTGTCACATGAATTATGGCTTAGCTTTGCCATAATCCCTAGGGGTGGCCGATATTTATACTCGTAGGTCCTTTGAGTTCCTCAGCGACCTTGCTAAATAATTGAGGCTAATCAGCTTGTGCGAAGGCTCTTGTCTGACTAGGAGTAAGTACTCTTCCTTAATCAGACTCTGTTACCTTGTCTGTTGCACATGGCCGTGTCGCTAATGTTTAGGAACTGTTACAAGATATGATACGGTATATGTATTTTTGGTATGGTATATGTACGCCAATACAGTATACCATATGGAGTAGACGATCACCACCACCACCACCATCATCATCATAATTAAATTCACCATGAAAATGATTTGGTTCTTAAATGTTTCATGAGATAATATTTACCGTGGAATTATGTGCATGGATATTATTAAATATTTGTGGAAAATGGTAACCATGGTATATTTATTTTTGGATATGGTAGAATATTTTCCTTTTATAAACATCTAATTTTGAAGGTACAGAGGAAACCTTTCAATCTAACTGAGAATTTTCCTACTGTTGTATGTGATGTAAATTTATAGTGAAGCTATGACTATAACTTCTGTTCTATTGTGATACGGTATTTTCGAGGTTGTATTCATGTAGTTCAACTTTTGATATTTTCTAGTACTTCAGTGGTAGCGATGTTTTTTTTTAATTGTAGCTCTAGCATTTCAACTCCATGTCCTGAAAAAAAAACATGGTTGCGGAAATGGTTTGAGTATCTTTTCCAATCATGTTTTATCCCTACCTCCTGGTACCTGCACCTACTCAAGGATGGTAAAAAGACTCCTTTTATTAATAAGATAGTAAGTTTAACAAAGTATGTAAATACCTTCAATATGTTGGCATAGGTATTGAGAATGGTGGGAAGGCCCCTGCTGCCAACATATGACTCTGCTTCTACATTCAGGTTCTTGTACCTCACCTCAATTGTCGGCAGTTTAATACCAACCCTGTACAAACGGAACATCTTTAAAATTGAGAAATGGAAATAAGTTTCTAAATGAAACTAGCATAATTGAAAACATTGCTTTTCCCTTATATTTAAGCATGCTTGATAAAATAATTATACGTGGGCACGATATCAAATGAACACAACTCAAACCATGCACACATGCACAAACTCCAGTCTAACCATCCGATCCATGATGGGCGCTCCCACCTCGCACTAACATGAAATATTGCAAAAAGAAAAAAACCGCAGAGGGAATACATTTTGCAAACAACCTCTATCCTTAGGTTCATATATCGACATTGTCATCCACACGAAATATGAGCACGTGTGGTATATATGATTTAAACCTTAGACCTCTCACTGATCCATATATATCCTTCATGCCATCTCACCTGTGAAGCACTTTGTGACTAGGATCGATGCTATTTTTGTTGACTTCACCTCTCTTCTAAACTAGTAACACACATTTGGCACTTTAAATGACATTAAATGAAAATGTCGCCAACTACAACATTGTAAACCTTGTTGAGCTCTACAACTATGACATAAAGCATGTCTCCATAAAAGTTCATTTGAAAAACTGAAAAACATTTTTTAAATAGACCTAAGATATTATAATAAATATTTGTGCCGTAAATGATCTCAAATTAAAAAAAATCAACTACAAATTTTCATATAAAATTTATCATCATGTGACTTCATATGAAAAGTTACAATTTTTTCATGAAATAATTATTCTCCCACTTTTAAGGGCGATTTTATTAACACATCCATCTTTGAAAATCAACTTTCACAGGCTTTTCCTTATGAGAACCACCTATATTGTTCTTAGAAGTGGTTCCTTAATAAGTCCACATGTGAAAAGATATTTCCTTATTTGTTTGAAATTGACCGATTGAGGTGTACAAATTTCATTATGATCTTTAAGATATTCTCTTTATTAAAGCCAGGTCCATATTTCTTCAAAACATTTCTTTTAATATTAATGAATGACCCTACTAAAGAAAATATGAACCAGCTAGTTATATTAAAAGTGTCGACGGGTTTGGTTTGTTTGGAGGATGTAGGCATCGGTTGGTATGAGGATGCCAACCAAGTTGTAAAGTGAGTAAGGAGATAGTGATTTTTATACAGGTTTGGGTCCCCCTACTGACGGGTAATAGCACTACTCCTATTGACCGGAGCCGATGTTGCCTTTATATATCAATCTCTCGTGAATACAACACGAAGAAAAACCTAATATAATCTACCAATATATGTGTGTGAAGCTCGTTCATGTGGTCGATGGCTAGCTATTATCGGTTTTCTTGGGAAGTAACTTTTTGAGATTGGAGGTGGCTTGTATTGATTTGTACCTCTCACGGGTTGTCTTGGCTTTGAAGGCTTGTGCTGGCCTCGTTTCATGTCCCCCTCATGAGACCTTGTATTTATACCCTCAGGTGTCCTCTTGTCTAAGTAAAACTAAAGAGGCAAGTTTAGATACGATCCATGTTACTTCGAGGGCCCAAATAGGACTCAATTCTTTTTTTTCTTTTTTGAGATTCCTTTCTTATTAACTCAGGACTTTTGCCATACGTACGAGCCTTGATTCCATAGGAAGACTTGGTATCATGACTTGGTATATAGGTGTCGCCAATCTTGGTACACAAGTATATGGTATCTCATATTTCGAATACTAACAGAAATGTAAAATTATAATGTTCTCACAAAACTTTGGTTCACCTCAATCAAATTTCAAATAAATCATCAATGTTTGGACATCGTAAAAAACTCACTAGTAAAAGTAGATATTAGAGCTTGTAACGAATATTTAGACACTTAAACAATCTCATATGTACAAAGTTGTAAATACCGTTGTCCTCTACAATGTTGTTATAGATTGCATATCTCCATTCAAGGTTGTTTGGAAAACTCAAAAAATGAAGCTTTTAATAAATATCTGGGGCCTAAATGATCTCAAAAGAAAAACCAGTTGAAAGTTGTAGATAGCATTGATAGCCAATATAAAATATTATGTAATCCAACTTGATATGAAAAAGTTACAAGATCTTTTTTAAAAATAGTATTGCTCTCATTTTTCACCAAGTTTAATTTTGACTTCTACAAGATTCTGCATTGCCGGTAAAAATCACCCCACTTCCAATTAAAAAAAAAGACCTGTATATACAGTTTTCTTAAAGACTTGAAAATTGCTTCTTATCGAGCGCCCAATCCGGCGCTGAGAGATTGGGCGGCCATATACTCAGCGCCCATATGCAACACTACAAGAAGCCCTCCACTGCGTGGAGTTGTGCTCCTCCTCTTATCTACTCTATTTTTAACATTTGAAACGATCTTTCTTCTAAACTGCTCATGCGATCTAGTTCCAATTGCACCATCGTATTTCTTACAATTAAATCTTTAAAACAAAATATCACATGATTATATTCTAATAAAAAATTATATATGTTTCATCCATTGAAATTTAATGTTTCACGCGTGATAGTTGGATGTTTTAGCTGGAACCCGACTCTGTTGCACATTTCTTAGTTCTCAATGTTGCAACGTGTATTTTTCTAATGTTACACTTGGTGTTGTTACAATGTTTGAGTAAATATTGTTTGATATTTCATTAGTTCTTTGCAAACGTAACGTCCTATTTATTAGATGTTTCAGCAAAACTGAATTTTGTTTCACCGCTTATAGAAAATTGTTTTAGTTCAGCGTATAAAATGTTTCAAAGAAATGCAACATTAATAAAATATTGGCTGCAACACAAGCAACCACTTATATGAAGTATTGAGTCCCAAGGAGTGAAACATTAAAAAAATATAAAAGATCCATATTTGCAAAAGCTTGACATTGTTGAAACATTTTTATGTCATGTGTGAAATGTATTTGTTCAAACATTATAAAATACTGATGGAAACATTAAAAAAACATCATGTGCAATATTTGAGGTCATTGAGACATTTAAATAAAAACAAGTGCAACATTTTAAAAATCCATTAAAAAAGCTAAATAGTTTTTAACGAAATATAATCAGGTGCGGTCTTATTCTAAAGATTTAATTGCAACTAATTTAATGGTGCAATCAAATCATAAATTGGATGATTATTTTATGAGAAAAAATATTTTGAAGTTTGAAATATTTTGCTAATATATCTCTTGGGCAGTGTGCAGATCTACCACCCTAGTACACTATAAGAGATATGACCTTCTGTGACTAACTCCTTGTGACATTGGAGCTATTCGCCATAATTTCATTTTGATTTATGACGTTCAGCTATGGGTAGCGTGACTTTGTGACAAAAATGAGGTTTTCGTCATCGAGACCAAGGACAAATCGTTATAAACTAGCCAAACAGTGTATCGTGACGAATGTTGTTTTGTCATAAGAGGCTAACCAGCAAACGTCATAAGTTAATGACAATGTTTGTTTGTCATAAACATATTTTTATTAATTTTTTAAAAGCAAGGATATTTGAGGCGCCACTTATTTGGCCCAACCATTATATTATGAAGTGAATGCCAATAATATGAAGTTTTTTTTCCCGGATACTATTGTCTGAAAGTGGACATTCAACTCATGTCACACACTAAAATTTATTTAATTTAATATTTCATTAATAATTATTACATTTGATTTTAGAATCAGGAATAATAATTATTGACAAGGGCAATAATTTAACAAGTGAAGTTGATATGGGAAATAAAATTTTACCTAGTAAACTATGACTTGGAAGTTTTAATAATTTATCCATAATTAATTATGCTCTCTTAAATTTTCTTGAAATGTTCGGAGCTAAAGAATTATTTTTAATAATACTAACATCATTTCCGTCATTATTTAAATTGAAAAAAAACATTTAAAGCCATCTTCCTATATTTGGGCCAAAAGCAGCCCAGTTCCTACCCATCACTGCGCAGGCTTATAGCCCAGCCAGGGAAAGTCTATCTCGTATCCCTCCTTTCTCCCCTAAACGTAAGCCGATGAGTCTATTTTACATCATTCAACCAAAGTTCAGTTTTAGTCACTTCGCCAGAGTAGGAAGCAGCAGCCCACACTGCCAGCCGCAGCCCTGCTAAGTCTAATCAGCCTCTCTCCCCTCTACTTCTAAATTTGTAATGCTTATTTGGTTCTCTAAATGATCTTAAATGAAAAAAAATGATCAAGTAAAAAGTTGTAGATCTAGCCGATCTCTATTACTTTTATATAGATCACATCTTCATCTAAGGTCGGTTGAAACATAGATCTGATATTTTGTAATAAGTCTAAGATGTTATAATAAATATTTGGGCCTCTAAACATTCTCAAATGAAAACAATGTCAACTATAAACTTTTAGATCTCGTCAAAAACCTACAATTTTGATATAAAGTTCATATTCATCCGACTTTATATGAAAAAGTTACTCCCTCCATTTCAGGCTATAAGACATTTTGACTTTGGTCAAAATCAAACTACTTCAAATTTGACTAAGTTTATAGACAAATATAGTGATATTTATAATACTAAATTAGTTTCATTAAATCAATAATCAAATATATTTTCATAATAAATTTGTCTTGGGTTGAAAATATTTTTTTTCTACAAACATAGTTAAACTTGAAGCAGTTTGACTTTGATCAAAGTCAAAACATCTTATAACCTGAAACGGAGTGAGTAGGTGCATATATATTTTTTTTTCAAAATTTTATTGTGATGAGACAAATTGGGATGAAAATGCAAATGAATATAATATAATTGGGCTGAAAATAATTTGTAAATTGCTATGCCTTAAATGGGCTTGGTCTAAATCTAACTAGGTTTATAATTGGGCTTGGCTCATAAATAGGTTGCTTACTATAAGGCCTTCGATAGTCTATGATGTATTTTATGACGTTTTCTAGGTTTGATAATGACGAAAATGAACGTCATAAACTTAATGACGAAAGAAGGATCAACACTAGATCAATGACGAAAAAAGTAAGTTTTCATCATAGAACATGATTAGAGACGCATGATAGGTGACGAACGAATTTTCGACGTGATTGTCACAAATTTTTAAACGTGAAAAATTTTGCAGTTTGTATGACGTAAATGAAACGTCACCTATCATAAGATCTCTTATAGTGGTAGCCACCCTAGTAGCTACTCCCTCCGTCCCATAAAAACCAACCTAGTACTATAAATCTGGAGATACCTCTATCCGAATTTACTGTACTATAATGTGTCACATCCAGTACTAGATTCAATTTTTTTTTGGAGAGAGGGAGTACACCCTAGCAGCCTAGCTGCATGTAGAAAAGTCGCTAGAAAACATGCAAAGTGCCTTCGATTGTGCATACAGAGTCGATCGGACGGCATAGACGGCGCCTAATTTATCTCTCCAATTGGGCCCCTGACGGGAAGTTGCTTCATAAAGGCTTGCCTTAAAAAAGATAATTACCCTTGGTGGTTCCCTTGGAAAACCGTTTGTGCAAATATATAGATTTCCAGAGGTGGTTTTCTAAGTACAAATAAGTTTTCACATATGGTCTATGAACTTAAAAGCGACCTCCGCCATCTTTCTAGCTGGTTTTTCTTTTAGGCCACATGTGAAAAGAAAAAGTCTCGTGCGTTGCGAAAATCATTTTTTAAGTAGTGCAGGTCCTCCACTACGAGTCTACTCCTTGCTGCATATAGTTTGTGAAGGCGATGGGGATCAGAGCTTTGCTGCTTTAAGATTTCCACATGACAGATGCGGTGCAAATTAACCAAGTAAACAAACAGTCCACTATAAGATCGGCTAATTTTATTGTGGTATTCATAATTAATTGAAGGCGAATTAATTTCATTTCAACAAGTTGGGATTGCATGTGCCCTACGTACCGATCGAAACGTTCCTTGAACTTGTAGAGGAAGCGGAGGTAGTCGTCGTCGCCGACGACGTCACCGCCTACTGGTCGCCGCAGCTCGGTGCCCTCCGGCATGGCCGGCGCCGGCAGCGCCGCCATCCGGCGGGCTGATCGGCCGTAGGTGAGCAGGTCATCATCGTCGTCGTCGACCCTCCCAGTGGACGGCGACCGCGAGAACGCAGCCGCCGACGCCGATCCCTCCTCTCGCTGCCGGTCGACCGCGTAGATCTCGCCGGCGTCGACGTCGTCGTCCATCCCGCCGATCGACGTAGGCCCTGCCTCGCTCTCCAATAAGGCTCGATCTAGCTAGTTCATGACCACGGGAGGAAAGGAATGGGCTCTTTATATAGCGCGCATATCTCGAAGCAAAAAGCGCTACGTGTAGGGAAAAAAAAAATTCTACTCCCTTCGTTTTAGGTTATAAGACGTCTATTTTAAGTTTTAACTAAGTTTATAGACAAATATAGTAATATTTATAATACTAAATTAGTTTCATTAAATAAATAATTAAATATATTTTCATAATAAATTTATCTTGGATTAAAAATGTTACTATTTTTTTATTAACTTGGTCAAATTTAAAGCAGTTTGACTTTAACCAAAGTCAAATACGTTTTGTAATCTGAAATTTATTTAGCATGTGCAGATATATTCCTATCAATCACTACTTAGCACGCACGTCGGAGTGAAAGCTGTTGTAGTGAAAAAAAAATTGAAGAGCACGTTGGTAGCAAATTAAATACATATATATTATATATAAAAAAAAGATAGTCGCGATTGTACTTAAGGAAATCATAATTAAGCATTAATTATTTTATTGAAAACTATAACCGTGTTTGTTTATGATTTTCTTTGATATAAAAAAAGAACACATGGTTATCGATTTGTTTTATTTATCAAAGAGTGCAGATACTACAATTATATGCTTATTACAAATAGAAGATCAGAACAGGATAGCAAGTAGCAGTTAACGCTATACGTTGGAGTTGTCGTACGTAATAATAATAAATAGCGGGAATTGAACTAGTTAGGAAATCACCATAATTCTTTAATAGGAAATCTCATCGTGGATATTATTTTTTTTCGACTGTCACGCTGGTAAAAAAACCTATTTTTTATTATAAGAAATGTATGGGCGCCGGTTAAGTTAATCATCACTCATTTCTTGCGCTTATACCCCAATAATTAAATAATTAAATACAGTTGTATATGCCTTTGTTTGATGTGTGTACAACACCAAAGTATACTATATGTAGATACACTAGAAGTGCCAAAACAATGAAATTTCTACAACTACTCCTTTAAACAGAAAAACATCGTGGAAGCATCAATATATAAATTAAGGTTATAATACAACAATTGACTGACACGTATGAAATATGCCTAAGAAAGGTAGATAATCAATTGTCAGCACATATAGTATTTAATTAACACACTATGACATGATAAACTAAGGTTATCACCATATAACAACATTTATTAACCCAGTGAGATGCTGACGTGCAAGCTACTCCCATCCATTCACGCAAACATGGCTTAACAAGTAACTGAAAAGACTATAAGGGGCCGGTAAGAATGAATCTCATCAATGAAAGTAGATTCGTGTTCTCTTAGGTTATAAAGAGATGGACATCCTCGTTAGTGCAAACTTTGATCGTATAACTTCCATAGCAATATGCAATATGTGCATATGCAATGGCAATCAGGGGCGGATCTACCCATTAAGCAGGGTGGGTCGATCGTCCCAGCTACGACCCGTGTCACCCCACACCCCCAAGACCCTCCCTACCTCCTTATAATAGTTATAGGCCATCAAAATTAGGTATATCAAGGTGTGAACATCCAATAGATTAGTCTGTCTCTTCACAACGCATGCACACCACAAACAATGATCGAGACAATTATACGATTGAATTATAAATATGATATGTGTTGTGTTCGATTGCTTATCGAGTAAACATCTTCATTCTCCGCCCCATCTATATTTTAAAACTGCGTCCACCACAGATGGCAATGCAATGATATGTATTCACAAAATACATCATATTAGGCCAAAATACGAAGTTGTACCATTATGGTCACAAGGTTCACGATTTAACTCCAAATATAATTCAAAAGTGATGCAATATAGGATGAATTCCAGCGTAATAATATTATAACCACATACCTATATAAGCCAAGTATAAAGTTACTCTTGCCAAGGGCATAAACCATAGTGTAATAACAATAAAACAATGATTAAGGTAAGTAACATCTCAATTTATCACACAATATTATCGTGATTACTGATATAGAATTTCAAAGTGATGGTGGGAAAAAATAACAAGTTAAAATTGTAGCAAACAACGCCATGTTTACTTGCCTTCACTATCGATGAGACAAACTCTAGTTGCGTCCTGAAGTTGAACCACCCGAATAAACATCGGTTCAGCCTCACATGATACACAAATAATATTTAGGTGTCATGCATTCACTTGCAAAGAACACAAAAGAAATAATCAACAATCTGCCTATAGAAGCAATGTAGCTTAACAATTTTATTTCTCCAATTATAAACCACGTAACATATCAAAATATAGCATTTATGACATTTACATAACAAAAAGTTTCAGGTACACATGGATTGATCAAGCATAACTGACAATAATCAGTTCCAAAATTAAATTTATTGCCGTCCTAATATTGAAAATCTAGCCATGTAGGGTTTTCCTACTTATTTTTCTTGGCTACTTTGGACCTCTTTGGATCTGCATTCTGCTTTCGAATTATAGCTCTGCCCACTCTTGTTGCTGTGTTCAGTGGAGGATGCACTTCTTCACTCCTATTGGTGGCAATGAAAGATGACTCAAGCAATGTTCCAGGAAATGTCGTAGCTTGCTGTTGACTGATGCCCTATTGCAGATAAATTGATAAAGAGTTTGTGCAATTTAGGTTCGGTAAGAATTGTTTACAACACAAGTGATAATGATTTACCTCTCTAATAAATGCATCAATTACAGGAGAGCTCCTTTGAGTGCTTGTGCCAAGGAAGCATATAGGATCAGTCAAAAGCTGTCGTATCATTTGCACAAGTTAATTGTTCAGTTGCATAGTTAGTGTAAAATGATAATCTCTTGTACCTGAGTGATGACAGGTTCATCAACCTCTTCAACTTCTGTTGTGGATTAGTAATAATCTATCCCCAAAAATTGATTTTTGGGTTTTCTAAATTGAAAATAAGAAGTGAAAAACTCCTCCCTCCAAGAGATAGCCTAATTTCAATCCCAAAAACTAAATGTGGGCCCTTCCATTAAACTACCAACAAAAATTTCCGTTCTTTTTCCTTCCACGCGTGCATCGACCTACCAACAGAAATTTCCCCGCTCATGCGGGAAGGAGAGGGGAAGCGGGAGAGCAGAAACGCACGAATTAGAGAATGGGAGTCGCTCTCTCGCCGTTAAATCCACAGAACGAAATATATGGGGATGAGAACTCCAAAACTAGTAGAGGGATTTTGAGGATATGTTGGATCTGATTTTTTCACTAAAAAACCCTCAAAATCAGTTTTGGGAAGGAAATAGGATGACTATTGGTGATGCTCTTATAAACCTAACATTTACCTACGGTACATCTAAGAAAAATCCTACAGTCAGAAAAGTTTAGGTGATCCACTGTATTATACTCCATCCATTTTACACTATAACACATTTTAACTCATCAGATCAAACTTTCTTCGGTGTTAACTATTTTATTAAAAAAATAGCAATATCTATAATATCAAATTAGTTTCATTACATCTAAAATTGCATATAGTTTGATACTATATATATTGTGTTACAGTTTGATATAAACTTGGTGAAAGTTTAAAAAATATATATTAATAAAAGTCAAAGCATTTTATTTTATACAATATAAAATGAAGAGAGTATATTTCACCAATGGTATAAGCGTCCGATTGGCTAATGTAAGCTGTAACTGATGCGGTGCAGGAAACTAATGGTTTTAGAGGGAAGCTAGTGCATGGAATCCCATGGTATTATGGAAGTCACGGGATAATTAAAACACCCAAAAGGTTTAATCTGTCCCCCACGCTGTCCACGCGATTTCCCCTCCTCCCCTGCCGCTTCCGAACACGAAACCTGAGCAGTACGCCATCAACAGCAAAACAAACGGCACACCGCCGTACGCAATACCTCGCCGGCGGCGCTCACAGCCGCATCAACTACTCAGAGCAGGAGTGCGCCATCGACAGCAAGGAACTGGCGCGCCTCCACATGCGATACCTTGCCAGTGGTGCGGAACGCCACCGCATCAACTACTATGAGCAAGATTCGCCGTCGACAGCAAGGAACCAGCTCGGTATCGCGCACCGCCGCAACAACTACACCAAGCAGGAGTGTGCTGTCAGCAGCAGCAGGGGGTCGAGCCAAGGAAAGGAAGAAGAGGAGACAAAATGTTGGTACTTGATACTTGATACTTCGTAAGTATCGACCCTGGTACCTAAGGTATCAGGTCTCATACCTAAGCTTGATACCTATCGTACCAGCCATGATATCCGCAGGTACCAGGTCTAATACCTAGGTATCAGCCATGATACCAAAGGTACTAAACATGGTACCTACAGGTATTGATTGCGGCTGATGCATTGCATGACATACCTGCACACACTCCAACGAGGAGCATGATAGCTCACCAAGACATCGTAGCTCTGTGTGACCTGCCTGGGAGAAGGGTGCGGTCGCCGCGTCCACCTCCTGCTTGGGCTTCAAGGCAGTGGTGATGGCGGCGCCATAGTACGAGGCGCTCTACGCCAGTGCACCGCTGGCGAACAACTCGGCGGCGTCGGCCCGGCCACCAAAGGAGAGGATGGTCGGCGGGGGAGACCTGCTCTGTGATGCACGAGTCCCAGCTGGTGTTGACCTCCGCCACCTTCCACGGCCGGTGCTCCCCTGCTGCCGTGTGCTGGCGTGCTGCTGCAGCAGCACCATAGTTGCCGCTACGTCCACCTCGCTGGCCTGCCCAAACACGAAGGCGATGACGAAGGCTTGGATAGAGAAAAGAAAGGGAAGGGATAAGATCGAACGTTATCCACTCATTTTAATTTATCTTGTACTGACGGAATACCGTTCCACAGTTTTTCTGATGGTTTTAATATAGAAAGAATCTATTCTATGTCATAGTTTGCTTTAGTTCAGTAATTTATCGTCGACTTAGTCATATACCACTGATTTTATCAATTGATTGATCGACATATTAAAGGTTTTGAAAAAATATAAAATTCTTTGTGTAGCCGCCCAGCTGAACAAGGAAGTTTGTGTATA